ATTTGTATGTCTTCTTTGGAGAAATGTCTATTTAGGCTATCATCCAGTGCTTTGCTTTTTTTTTTTCCTATTAAGATTTTAGTTCTTCATCTATTCTGGATATTAACCCTTGTCAGATATATACTTTGCAAATATTTTCTCTTATATTGTGGTGTCTCTCTTCCCTCTGTTGTTTCCTTGACTGTGCAGAAGCTTGTTAGTTTAATTAATGTCATCCATTTGTTTGGGTTTTTTCCTGCACTTTTGAGATCTTGTCCAAAAATCCGTTGCCTACCCCAGTGCTTTGTCTTTCAATTGGTGAATGAGGGGGTGTGCCGTGCATAAGAAATAGAACTAAGATTATACAATAAAAGATAAATTCTAATTTCTTATGGAAACAAAAATGTTACACTGTATTCACCCTGGCAATGATGTTTAGTTTTTAAAACTGGTCCCCACTGGTGGCCCAATATGCTAGAGATACAACAGGGGCAGAACACATTACCAAAAACACCCATCTCATGGAGCTCACAAGGAAATGAGGGGAAACTGAATAAGATATATAACTGAATGAAGTCATTCTTTTATATCAGACAGGGATGAGTTCCAGGTCTCCAGCTCCAGACCAAAGTCTGGGTGTTTGAGTCCCTTATACAAAACAGCATAGTGTTTGCATTTAACCTGCCCACACCATCCTGTATGTTTAAAAACATCTTCACAGATTACTTATGATCTCTAATACAATGCAAATATTTTGTCAAGAGTTGTTGTGCTGTAGTGTTTAGTGAATAACAAGAAGAAAATACTCTGTATATGCAGTACAGACACAATTTCTTTATGAGTACTTTTGGCCTTCGTTGGCTACGGGTTCATTGGGAGCCGGGCTCTGTGAGGCCTCACCAGCACTCCAGGACGTGATCTTGTGCTGAGTGACCTGGAAAGCTACTGCAGGGCTGGGCGTAGAGAATCAGCACCGTCCTGAGAGCCAGTGTTGGTGCCAGCTCAACAGAGCTAAAGGAGCTGAAAAAGACTTGATCACCAACACTGCACAAGGGTGAGATTCAAGAGGAACCAGAGTGGTGGACTGTTGGAGAGCAGCAGCCAAGGACAGAACTGGAAGTGTCCAACCAGGGCAAGCTGCCCCTGGCCAAGGACCCTGCATGTGGGTGAACTATGCTGGGGAAGAACTAGTAGTGTGAGTCTTTCCCACCAGAGGGCGCCAAAGACAGCATGCAATACCATCATATCCCACTCTGGGTAATAAACATGGTTCTAAATTCTCTACATACATGATATGTTCCATTCTCACAACACTATGAGGAAGAACCATTGTAACCAGATATCTCTAGCTCTCAGGTCTTGGTTTCTGAGCAACGGAGATTAAAGCCGACAAAATAGCAAGCAGCAAGCGATGAGTAATGTCCAATTGTGGTTTTGTTTATTAGAAAGAATAAGATAAAAGAGCTCCCCGCTTGTTGGGGGTGGGTAAAAAACCTTAGACGTTGAAGTCCATTGACCTTTTATACAGTTTTGGGGGCTGGAATATGTGACAGAAAGCAGGGCTGCTCCTGGTTGCTGGTAGGCCTTTGATGTCCCCAAAGCAAGCTGCTTTGTTTGCATTTCACTTCCTCCAAGGCCTCTCCCATTTGGTTAAGAGCCTGATTTTTGTCCCTAGCATTCTATTAGACCTTGAGGGTCAGTTTGTTTAAGTTAATTTGGGCCCTTTGGGATGTTTACTCACTTAAGCCCTGACTTTTAGTTTAGTTGAAGTTAACTGTTCATGACCCATCCCCTATCTAACTTTTCCTATCTTTACCATTATCCCCACATCACAGATGGGATCCTGAGTCACCAGAAGGGATTTTGCCAACTACCCCTGGGGCTTTCCCACTGTACTGTTTTGCTGGGTGGCAATGCTCTCCTTACCTGAGGGTTCTGGCCACGTTTTCTTTCCCGGCCACTCACCAATCAACACATTTATTGCCTCCTTCTATTGGAGTCTCCACTCCTAAAGCTGCACCCTCTTGACTTTAGGTCCTTTAAGCCCTAAAGAGTACTCTCTTTCCTGGTCACCCTGCCCAGCAGAGTAGCCACTCCTCCCCTCCATCCCCTGCTCAGCTGGTGAGCAGCCTCAGACAGCCTCTGGCCAGGCGAGTGAAAGATTAGGCCTGATGGTCTCACAGACAGCCTAGCTCCTCAAGGGTCTGTAAGAGGAAGGAATACAAGTTAGAGCACCCTCAAGCCCCACTAGGGAAGCTCCAGGAGGACAGTGGCTCCCAGATATTAAAGGGTAGGTCACTGCACTCAAGGTGCGAGTGAGCACTTAGCAAGTGCTGTTGATTGGCTTCCTTTTCAAGCATCTTTCCTCCCTACACAGGCTACAAGTAGCTGACAGAGGTTGAAAGTCCCAGACTTGCTACACTATCTAGCAGCAGATGCCACAGGAGCATGCCCAGCAGCTTTCTTTCAAAGTGAGGGTCACTGTCTCCAGCTATTCTCACATTTGTGGTTTACACTGAAATTTCTACAGGATAAAGAATGATTCTCTGTCATCCAGCTACATAGGCACTAGTAAAATAGAGAAATGGCTGTCTAAAATATGGTATATTATTACTGTGAAAAGTAAGGCACAAATTAAAAATAATGGAATGGACCTATAGACTAGAAAAAGGCCAGCTGCAGAAAAGTATGTATTAGGTAAAAGAAAACTTTGTGAATATAAATCCATATGCAAAGCCAGGTGCAATGGTACAAGCTATGAAGCTCAGCTACTAAGAAGTCTGAGGCAAGAGGGTCACACTTACAGATCAGCCTAGGCAACTTCGCAAGACCTTGCCTCAAAATAAAAAAACAAGAAGTATGGCGTTGTGGGTCTGTGGAAGAATCCCCTGGGTTCAACCTCTAGAACTGAAATGAAATACAAACAATCGCACTACATAAAGTGTTTTCTTTGGAGATATCTATATATCTCTCTATCTTCTGTCTTCTACTGATATAAATAACTTTACAAGGCATGGAGAACTAAAGACTTCTGGATGAGACACCAAACTATAAAACAAGCCAAAAAAATAGAAGAAATCATTCCTGACACTAGGTTTGCGAAGTTTTGTTGGATATGGCACCAAAACAACAGGCATCAAAAGCAAAAATACAGAAATGTGTCTTCAAGGAGCTTAATGCATTTGTGCATCACAGGACACAATCAACACAATGAAAAGCAACCTACAGAGTGGAGAAGACACATCCAAAGCATACGTCTGACAAAGAGTTAATATCCAGATCACGCAAAGAACAGCTACAACTCAATCACAACAAAATCAAATAAGGCACATTAAAAATTGAAAAAGGACTTCAATAGTCATTTCTCCAAAGAAGGTGTACACATGATGAACAAGTATAAAGAAAGATGTTTAACATCACTAATTCGGGAAGTGCCAATCAAACCACACTGACATGCCGCCTCGCACCCATTAGGACAGCTACTGTAATAAGTGTTGGGCTTCATATGGAGAAACTGTAACCACATGCAGGGTTAGTGGGATTAAACAATGGCATAACCACTAGGGAAAGCAGTATGCACATTTCTAAAATGTTACAAATAGAACTACCACATGATCCAGCCATCCCACATCTGGGTGAATACCCAAAGAATTGAAAGCAGGGTGCTTGGTCTAAATATTTATGTCCTCTTGAAGTCAGTTTCTAAAGGCCTAATCTTTAGGTGGTAGAATGAGGTGATGAGACTTCAGAGGTTATGAAATCATGAGAGTATATCCCTAAAGAATGGAAAGATTCCTCCCCTAAAAGAGGCCCCAGAGAGCCACCTTCTTTCTCTGTGTGAGAAGAAAAAGCACCTTCTGTGAACCAATTTAGACAATGACTCTGCCTGCATCTTCATCAGGACTTCCCGTCTTCCGAATGCTGAGAAAATATAATTCTGTTGGTTGTAAGCTACCCAGCCTGTGGGATTTTGTTACAGCAGCCTCAGTAGACAAAGACACGGGGTTTTAAAGAGATACCCACGTGCACGGCAGCACTTCTCACAACTGTCAGGAGGTGGGAGTGACACAAATGTCCACTGATAGACAACTGCATTTGCAAAATGTGGTCGATTCATACAATGAGATAGTACTAAGCCTTAAAAAGGAAGAAATTCTGACACATGCAGTGACACGAATGACCCTGAGAACATGATACAAAGTGAGCTACATTAGTCACAAAAAGACATACTGTAGGATTTCACTTGTAGAAGGTATCTGGAGTAGTCAAATTCATAGAGAAGGAGAAGGGGATGGCAGACACCAGAGACTGGGAGAAAGGAAGAAAGGGTGTTGTTGCTTAATGAGTAGAGTGCTTCAGATTTGCAAGAAAAAACTTCTGGAGATTCTTTACATAAAAATGTGAACATGCCCAACAGCAATGATTTGTACACTTAAACATAGGGAAGATGGTAAATTTTGGATTATGAGCTGGTTTTGCTACAATAAAAAGGTGGGGTATGGAAAGACACTTTCATTTTGGAGCTCTTCCTTCTGCAAGTGGGACTGAGACACTAAGAGGAGGGCAAGGATGATTATCAGATTCAAAGAGACTTGAGCACTGCCTGTAGACATTCAGGCTTTTTAAGAGAAGAGTGGAGTTGAAGATTTCTGAGATGAGTTAAATACAAGAAAGCGTTGCTTTTCATTAGAATCTGTTAGTTACTTTTCTCTTGTTACTGGGACAAAATACCCGACACTCAAAGTTAAAAGGGAAGGGGTTTGCTTGGCTTACAGTTCATAGAGGGTTCAGTCCATAATTGGCTGGCTCTGAGGCTGGGATGGCAAACATGCATTGCAGAGGGGAAACAACATGGTGCACACAAAGCAGAAAAGGTAACAAGAGAGGTTTAACAGCTTCTTTCTGCCCCTTTTATCTTATTCAGGTTCCTGGGATTAGGGCAGTGCCAAACTAATCACTTATTCCTAGTGATTTAGTAATCACACACCCTTAACCCCAGCATCACACACTCCAGATTCAACTACCTCTGAAAAAGAAAGTCCTACCTCATCCGCATGAGGCTTTAGGGAGCCATCTGAACACAAACCATAACAGAATCTAATCTAATACCGTGATGGTGTGGAGTATTAGTCACCTTTCTTGTTGCTGGGACCAAATATGTGACAACCACAACTTGAAGGAGTGAAGGCTTATTTGGCTCAAGGTTTCAGAGTTTCAGCACATGATGGGTTGGCTCCAAGCAGGGAGGAGGTGACCTGCACAGAGTTATGTAACGAGTCAGTGGCAGGGCAAGTCAGCCTCTGTCTTCACTTTTAGATTCATTTCAGCTCAGTACGCACCAATACCATATCCCTCTGTCAAAATAAGTTGGGAGAAGGAACTGAGCCTCCTATACACCCCCATTATCAGACAGCTCCTTTCCTAGCCTTGGCCTTTCCTGAAAAACTGCGTGCAGAATGGAACAGCTCCAGGCAGAGTAGCAGTAACTCAGTTTTATTTCTTATTTTCCCTAGGGGTGCAGCACTTGGCACCTTGTCCCATCAGGACTGGTTGCTCCACTCCCATGGTCCTGTTCTCCGCAGGGATTGGGGCTGGAGCTGTTAGAGACCCGTTACACGAGCTATGAGAAAAGAACTAGCAGACCCAAGGGAGCCTATGATGATATTAGAGGACGTAGAGAGTCCGGCCGCCCCTGGGGGAAAAACAAAAAGTGAGCAGAGTTGGGCAGACCAGGAGACCTCTGAGGGACAGAAGCGTCAGTTCAGACACCAGCAGCCCTCCTGAGGGCCCAAGTCCCGGGGGCCCCACAGCATCTCCTCTATTCCCAGACCCCTAGGATCTCCATTGTGGGATGAGGCAAACTCAAGTGGAGAATGCAGCTGGAAGCTCCTTCATTGTGTAGGGAAGGAGGCAAAACCTGTTCAGTCAGCTCCATCCCCCGGAACAAAGGAGATGCCCCGTGCAGCCCAGCCTGAACCTGGCGTGACTGGCCGGGCTCCTCCCTGCCTTACTCCCATCCCTGGAAAAACCCAGACCTGAAGGATGACACAGGTGCGGAGCCCCAGGGCGCAGGGCTGAGATGTGGCCTCAGTGTTCCTTCCCTTCCTCCACAGCAGTCCCCTCCTGGATACTCACCCACTGACTGCAGAGTGGCCACCAGGCTCCCCGCGGGCACCCCGCCTCCGTTGGCAATGGCAGTGACTGACATCATCTTGGCTGCCAGGGACGAGGCAGTGATTCCTGCCCCGGTGAAGCCCACAGCACTCAGCACCATGGGCACAGCCACCACAGCCAGCCCTGTGGGGAGAGCAGCTGGTGGGCTGGGTTCAGGGCAAGGGACCCCCACATGGTCAGGGCTGGGGTCCTCACAGGATAGGGGGAAAGAGGTGGGCTCTGAGCCTGGGGAGACCATGGCCATGGCCAGTAGGGGCCAGCCTGGGAGCAGGGCCCGGTGGGAAAGTGGAGGTAAGGGTGGGAGTCCTGGGGGACAGGATCCTGAGCCAGGCTCTGATTGCCAGAAGGTACTTTTTTGTGAAAGTTGCTTGTCCAAGCCTTAGTGTCTGCCTTGTTTCGAGGCTGTGACATTCACTGGTTTGTGAGCTTTGTTTTGATGAAAGCAAGTCTGGCCCCTGACAGTGTAAGCAAGGACCAGTTCAGAGCTGCAGCACGTGGCAGCTTGGGTTCCCTGAATCTCCAGAAGCACATAGAAAGCCACCAGACCCAGGGTGGCGGGGCCCAGGGCATCCCTGTGATGCAACTCTGCTGTTCCAACTCAAGCTGCACACTCCCTGGGGAACCTTGCACGGGCATCACTGGCCTGTTTTTCAAGGAAGGGAACAGGAGCCCAGGGGACTTCAAAGACATGCCAGGGTCACAGAGATGCTCTGCACTGGGGACATGGGCCCGGTGGAGGACACTGACACCTCGCCTGCACAGTACACTTGTTCCTTGCAGCCACCTCCCTATTTCTTATCTTCAGTGGTTTCCGGTCCCTCCTTTCCTGCCCTCTCCCTCCTTCCTGCTCCTCCCTCCAGCCCCTCCTGAGGCTCCAGAGAATCCTGGGCAAGGACATCATGGCTGCTCCTCTGGTCTCTTTGTGCCACCCCAGGAAGGACTTGAACCCTTTCCCTGCAGAGACTTACCTCCTCCGGCTACAGCTACAGCAACCTTGGCTGAAACCAAAAGAACATTCTGTGAGGGGATCCACATTGCCCTCTGCTCCCCACTCCAAGCCAACCACCCAGTGGTTGGTGGGGTTCCCTGGGGTAGGCTCCAAGGAAGGAATGACCCCTGCCTGTCCCTCCCTGAGTCACTGAGAATAGGAATAGTTGGAGTGGATCCTCCATCCAACTCCACTTAAGACTCTGTGGAGACTCAAATTTGTCTTGAGTGAATTACCTGCCCTAAGCCAGAAGGATCTGGAGACAGGGCTTTGGGGTTCTGAATCCAGAAAATTCATCCACCTAATACAGGTTTTGTTTGTTCTTTGTTCATCTCCCTGCAAGCTGCTTGGCTGGTTGACTGGGAATTTTGTGGGAAAATCAGAAGTTACCTTTTACCCATCTCTCTTTCCCAAGCCAGGTTTTGTTCAAAGAAACAGCGAAATTATTACTGCAATGTCCCTTCTTGATGAACACAGGACTCTTGGCACTGTAACTGAGGGACTCCGGGTTTAACTGGGACGGGAAGAGGCCTGTCTAGCTCCCTGGAGAGCACAGGGAGTTCCAGTGACCCAGGGTCACTGTTTGTCAGTGGGGTTACAGGACTCTGAAGGAGCTCCTAGGACAGCAGAGCACCTGAGGACGGGGAGATGAGCTCCTTTCTGCACTTCCTGCCTGCTGGAAGCCAGGGTGAGCACGGCTGGATCCAGAATACTGCTCATGCTACCCAGGGGCCATGCTTGGAGGAAAGGGTGGGAGACTCATGGAGACCAGCACATTGCCTTCTCCAGGAAGTCTCTGGATTCTCCCAACCAGAATTCATCCTCGCTCCTCCGTAACTCCAGTACTCATAGCCTGGGGGCATATTTAGAAATGTGTGGGACTAGATCCCCAACACCATGTGCCCTTGCATTAGTCCAGGGCCCAGTCTCCTACAGTTTTAGGGGCCTGAACTGTACTCTTTGGGGCTAGAGGGACCAGAGGTTCCAAAAATAGTATGAAGTGCAGCAGGCTTAGCCAGCTCTCGGGGAGAGTCCTGGACTCCACAGAGGAGGAAGTAGACACAGGTGCCTGAGGACCAACAGTGAGTGTCCAAAGGGTACATGGGGATGGGGCGTGGACCCTCAGGAAACAAGAACCTGTTTCAAAGGCATTTGCTGCTAATTCTCTTGGCAGGCAGGAAGGGAATGCCAGGCTGGTTGGCAGCTGGGGCTGGCATACAGAAAGCCCACAGGAAATGGGGGCTGTCTGGCCTGCTGAGCTCACTGGTCGTGCTGAGATGGATGCAGGGCTGAGTCTTCTGGTCTGTGCAGAACCTACTTTGCCCTGAGGCTTCCTCCCAACCCCACCTGCAGCTGTAGTGGGAACAGCTCTGCATTCCTGCTTCACTTCCTGTCCCAGGCTCAGGAGCATCCCCCCACCTCCCCGCCCAGGGCAGCAGGGCATTGATCAATGTTCCTCCTTGGTAAATAAGGGACAATATTACCTTCCTCTGTGATGGTTAGAAGAAGTAAAGGAATTGATAAATGTCAAGTGCTACCCACAGGAACTAAGACCTAAATACTTGATCAAATGTAAATGATCTTGTTACTGTATTATAATCATGCAGAATTCTTAATCATAGTCCAAGATTTCGTCTGAATTTCAAACAAGCAGAAAAGAATGGTGGGTGTGACCCTGGCCCTGACACTCTTGTCAGACTTCTCCATGTTGAATGGGAAGCCCAAAGCGAGGTGTCTGTTACTCAGGACCACTTACGTCCAATGGAGGAAGCAGCCCCGGCCAGAGCATCAGAGGACACCTGCAGGATGCCAGCAGCATTCAGTGTCTCCAGCCAGGGCTCAAGGACAGTCGCTGCAGGACTGGCAGCCTGGGATACCAGACTGACCCCTAAGGAGGTACAGAGGGTGAGTGGTCAGGATGGGGGTCACAGACTTGTCTCCCCCATTCAACATCATCAGTTCACTTTAGTGCAGGTTGGAGAACCTGTGGGCATCCACCCCGAGAGACAGAAAGGTAGAGGCGTGTGGTTGCATGCAAGAGACCCACTTGGTTGCAATTACATGTCAGGATTAAAACTCCCCTAAGGCCACTGAGGGATCTCAAGGTCAGAGTTGTCAGTATGAAAAACAGCAGTAGAATGAAATGTACAACAGGCTATTCTGGGTGTAAACTAAAACACATGCAAATGCAAACAACACCCATTCTGCCAAAATGCGGGTGAGACACACACACACACACACACACACTAAGTATGTGAGAAATGCTGGCTTTGGTGGAGAGAAATTGATATGTAAGGATTGATGAGAAGAGGTGAATAAGAATAGAGAGGATGCCTGCAAAAATGGATGAAGAAAGAGTCCTGAAGTGCAGAATGTTGTTAAAAATCAACGGTCTGGCTTGGAGATTGAGCAGGAAAAACTGGAAAGCCTTGTTGCCATTCAATGGAAGATTCTTTTGTCTGATTCAGTTAGAAACCATGAATTGGCAAAGTGCAGTCTTGCTGGTGGTTCTCAGCTTTGGGTACCAATGGACCCATCCCTGGATTTGAGCCCCGATGCTGCTGCTCTTCCCTGCTGGTTGAGATCTCTGCCACTGCCAGGCACTGCCAGGCACTGCCAGTTAATGCCAGGCACTGTAGGCCAACTTTGTCCTCAGCTATTGGACTCTGGAGCTCTTCAGCACTACAACTCTTAGTGTTTACAGCTCTTTTAAAAGTAGTATCTCTGTCCACACTACTCAGGGTAAGAATTCTGAGATTTATGAGAATTTTTGAGCCCATACAACAAGAGAGAAGATTTACAAGGCTTTACTTTAACAAGACCTAGACTAACCCTGGAAATGTTAGAGGAGAGTTGCTTATACAGCAGCAGCTGGCCTGTGACTGGTCTGAATTCAACCCTACTGACTGGCCCAAATTCTAGCCGGTGATTGATCCAAATTGGTCTAAACTCAAGCTTTCTGACTGGAGCCTACTGATTGGTCCAAATTCAATTCTACTGCATATTTTTAAAAATTATTATAATAATTTTAATTGTATAGTAACATTTTTGAAATCTAATAAGGGAAATTTAAATGTTTAAATACTTCATTTACTCTTAACAATGTATTGCATTTTCCGTGTCAGAACTGAAAATAATTTATCAAGATTTTGAATTTTTCCTTCCTCATGAAATTTCAAGAAGGCAAAATAGTTTAATTAATCTTTTTTTTTCTAGTACTGGAGATCAAACTCAGGACCTTGCACTTGTGAGGCAGGCGTGGTGACACTACGCTAAATCCCCGGGCCTAATTAATCTTTTTAAGGTGTATAAAATTCTGAAATTGAAATTTTTATTGAAAACAGGATCTTTGTATGGGCTTTAGCCTTGACACTTTTCTTTTTTCTTTTTTTTTCTATTTTGTGATTCAATTTATTTCAATCAGGTAAATTTGTTTGAATTTTATTGGTGTGTCCTGTGTACATCTAGTGCGTATGTAAAGCTCAAGCCCACTGCAGTCAGGGAAGACACCGCCCAGAGTGGGGAGGGGCATCCAGGTCAGCCATAACTGTCATGGTAGCTGTTCTGCTGAACAGCAGAGACACGGCGGCTTGATTGACAGCTGCAGTGTCCCCACAGAAATAGTGGGGGTAAAACTGAGGAATCCCCAGGAGGACTAGCTGAGTTAATCCCAGCTCATGGGGGTTTGGGGATCATGGGCTCAGATTCCTCACTGATTTCTGCACCCTAGAAGTGCAGGGGTTTCTCCTCTGCTTCTTCAAAGAGGCTGCAGAGTCTGGAGCTGGAGTGAGGTAGATTAGTGTGGAGGGAAATCACTTAAACTCAGAAGAGCCTGTCGGGCACAGAGACCCAGAGCACACGCACAGAACAGAATCCCAAATGACTATGCAGGCCCCAACCTTGTATGCGGGACCAATGAGAAAACTGCCACTTTCAATTCTTTGCTTACTGCTAGTGGGCCCTTGATAGAACAGTTTAAGTCTGACATAAGGCCAGTTGAGTTTCTGATAGGGCAACCCTCTCAAATGCCTTGTTCACATGGGGAAGAAGTAACCTAGGAATTCCATATACCAAAGAGCCCTGCCATTATTCCTCGAGAGCCCTGTGAGTCTATTCCCTGCCCCCCCCTTACTCTACAGAGTGTTTCTTTTCCACTGTCAATAAAAGTGAATTCTTTTCCATGTGATTGGTCCAACTCTGTGTTCAGAACACCAAGAACCTGGAAAGAAATCTCTTCGGAACCCAAAAGTAACAGAAGGAGCAAAATAGGGACACAAAGGCTGACAGCCTAGCCCACCTCCCCTCAGAGAGAGGGAGAGCAGCTTTAAAATAAACTTAAGGGGGACAGCTGGACACTGAGGCAAACTGTTTCAGTTCATTCCGGCACCAAAGGGGAGCAAAGAGAAACCAGGGGGAGGGGCATGACAGCTGTGGGCCAAACCACTTCCTCCTCTAGCTGTGACTGAAAAGGAGGCCAGTAAGAGGCTTCTGCAGACCTCTCAGTCTACGCAGGAGGCTCAGGTTTAGAGGGGAGGGGATTTACTGACCACCTGGGTCTGAGAACCTGGGGACCCAAACTTCAGGCTCACAGACAGGGTCCTGCCTCCCTGGGGTCCTTGGCAGCGAGAATGCAGAGTGGACACCTGGAGGCACCCAGGAGACCAGGGCAGCCACAGGGCCAAGCCTCTGCACACCCCCCTCCCCCGGACAGGGCCCCCTACCGACCCAGAACACTTACCCTTCGATGAGAGGCCAGCTAGGAAAGTACCAGTGGCCTCTCCGCCAACTTTGGCCATGGCCATTGTTGATGTTACCTTGGAGGCCAGGAAAGAGGTCAGCATGTCTGCTCCAGCTAATGGCATGGTGCAGCGTGAAGTTTCCCAATTCCAGGCGAACCTGTGAAAAAGCTATTGTGGAAACATGAGGCCACGGAACTGGATTCTTGCCTACTGTCCTAAAAAACTTTAGGGGACCAGGGCGGATGGGAGCCTGCCCTGAGCTGACTAGTGGACACTGGGCCTTGAATGGGGCCTGGTGTGAAGGAAGGGGGGGATGCAGATGCTGAGGTTCCCAAAGAACTCATATTAGGGGTTGGGGTGGGCTCCAGGGATGTATTTCCCTCTGTTGGCTGCTTCCTTCCTCCTAAAAACCCCAGGATCCACATCTTAGATGCTTCTGGGACTCACTTAAATCCGCATGTGCAACTGAAACCCCCAAAATGAAGAAACCAGAATCAGTGCCATTGTCCAAAGACATAACGCAGTAAGGTGCTATGGGTGCCTGCTTGTCCATCATCTCCCCTGAATGTCAGCGAGCTGGAGTCCTACCCCACTATATAGATAAGGAAACAGAGTCCAGCTCAGAAAGGGTATGGGATTTGCTCCAGGTTGGAAGGCTCCCTACCAAAGCAAGACCTCAGCCAGGTCCAGCTGCTTCCAAATAAGGTGAACTTCCAATGGCTCTGATTTTGTTCCTCCTGACACTTACTGTGATTCTCCCCGTGCCCTCTTCACACTCATCCACACCCAGGCTTGCGGGAAAGGCAGACGAGCACACTGCTCCCAAAGCCCGGAGTCCAGGGGCTCAAGACCCATCCCTCCCAACCCCCAGCTTCCCTTGCAGCTGCCCTGAGGACAGAAAAACAAATCCCAGCGGCAGACACACAGTAAGGATATTGCCCACCCACCTGAGTTTGAGGGTTGCAGTGAAGGGGGCCTTGCCCTGCTCTTCCGGCTTCAACCAGCAGAAGTGTTTTCCCAACACAGGGTGCCACCCAGGTGACCAAAGAGGTAGGTTTCCTTTTCCCAGGAAATGGAAACCAACCCCAGCCTCTCTTTCTGGCTCACTGGAAAATCTGGTTATTGTGGAAACTGGATTTGGCTACTGTATCAATTGTTGTCATTTGCTATAAAATGCTTGGTCATCTTTGTATAATTATTTTATATCAATGTTATTTCATAATGACTTTGAAGGATCGTTATTGTGTTTGAAATACATTATAGAACCATTTCCAGAGTTTAGAGATTTTTGGGTTTTTGTTTTGTTTTGTATTTTATTGACATAAATGACAGTCTTCATGAGGGGCTCACACTTCAGATTTTTCAAAGCCTTCTTCTTCCTTTGTTTTCTTTCTCTTTTCTGTTTTCTTTCGTATTTCCTACTCCTCCTTGTCCTTCTCCTCCCCTCCCCTCCCCTCCCCTCCCCTTCCCCTTCCCCTTCTTCTTCTTTGTTTCTACAGTTCCTATTCAAGATTAAAAATCTGTATCCTGTTGCTTTGTAACTGAAAGGTGGGGAGAGAGAAAGAGATTGATTCTTGCCAGGTAAATTATATTAAATTTTCAGGGGGGTAGGTAGTGTCAAAAAACTGGAGAAGTTGTGGAAGTTGATAGAACAAATTAATTTTTGTGAAATCATGCTCCACATTCTTACAACATCTGTTTTCTAATGTAAGAGCAGATAAATAAGTTTACTAATAATATTGCTTCATAATAACTAAAACTCACAGAGCACTATATCAATAAAGGATCCAAAACATCCTGAAGGTGTTTGTTAAGATTAAATTGCAACACGGCCCCCTGAGACAGGACCCCCTGGCGTCCGGGCCAGGAGGAGGAGGAGGATTCTCTGATGGCTCACAGGGCAGGTGCTGCTTTTGTGGGCACCGCTGAAAAGCGAAGTTCAGCAATGTCCGAGATCCTCCGGGAGCTGCTGCAAGTCTCTGAGAAAGCTGCCAACATCACCCAGGCGTGCAGGCAGCAGGAAGCCCTCTTCCACCTGCTCATCGAAGAGAAGAAGGAAGGAGAGAAGAACAAGAAGTTCGCCGTGGATTTCAGACCCTGGCTGATGTGCTCGTACAGGAAGTTATAAAACAGAACATGGAGAACAAGTTTCCAGGCTTGGAAAAAAACATTTTTGGAGAAGAATCTAATGAGTTTACTAATGATTTGGGGGAAAAGATTACCATACAACTGTGCTCAACAGAGGAAAAACCACAGAGCTTCTTAGCAGAGTCCTCAGTGGCAACAGATCAGCACCTGAAGCGCTGGCCAAGGTTGTTCATCGGGATGTTGCCTTCGGAGACCCGGCTCTGGACTCTGTAGACACCAGCATTCCAAAGGACATTCTGGGAATTTGGGTGGATCCCATAGATTCAACCTATCGGTGCGTTAAAGTTTCTGCTGATGTTAAAGCCAACCAAGGAATTTTCCCCTGCAGCCGTCAGTGTGTCACCATTTTAATTTGTGTCTATGACATACAGACAGGGGTGCCTCTGATGGGAGTCATCAACCAACCTACTGTGTCACAAGACCTAAACACACTCAGGTGGAAAGGAGAGTGCTACTGGGGCCTTTCTTACATGAGGACCAACATCCATTCACTCCAGCCCACCATCTCTAAAAACAGCAGCAAACCCCAGCCTGCAAGCGCCAGCTCTGAGGGAGAATCCCCCCACCCTTTCTCCGCTGTCATTAGTACAAGTGAAAAGGAGACCATCAAAGCCGTGCTGTCATGGGTGTGTGGAGACAGCACCTTCTGGGCAGCTGGGGCTGGTTACAAGAGCCTTTGTGTGGTCCAAGGCCTTGTGGATGTTTAGAACCTTTTGGAAGACACCACCTTCAAGGGGGACACCTGTGCTGTGCACGCCATCCTGAGGGCCATGGGTGGGGGGATCGTGGGGATGAAAGAATGCCTAGAAAGAAGTGCAGGAGCAGGGCTGAGTCTGCCAGAGCTCCTGTACCACGAGGAAAACACTGGAGCCACTGGGGTCATTGCTGGGCCAACAAGGGAAGACTGCATACAGGTCCAGGAAGCGGCTGGAGACCTTCCTGAGCTGCCTCCTCCAAAATCTTGCATCTTTGGAGTCACAGACGTAGAAGGGCTCTGACCTCAATGTACACACCAACCGGACTGTTTCCCATTATCTCTATCTTGGTTTTTTTTTGGTACCAGGGATCAAACTCGGGACCTTGCGCTTGCGAAGCAGGTGGCAGCACCACTGAGCTAAATCCTCGGCCCCCCATTATCTCTATCTTTTGAAGATAGTGTTGTCCTATTGGTGGTTAATGCATACCTTCCTCTTTTGAGGAGCATTTTTCCACTTTGTGTTCATGAGGTTAATTTTGGTAACTTAATGACATTTACGCAGCAATTAAGAATGATATTCTTACAGTAAATATTGTACTGCTAATGTTGCTTGAAGCACTTCAAAAAAAGATTAAATTGCACACTGAACAGAAAAAAAATCTCTTAATTATTGAAATTTTGAGTTGTTTCTGCCTGGGTTTGGGGTAAGTGTGCATAATGAATTAGTATAAAGTATAGATAGCAACGTCTGACAGTCTTATTTGTTAAGAATGGACTGCACGTAGGGCACTAAAGTGTCATAAAATGCAATTTTTTATGTTCAATTAAAAAAATTCCCAGGCAGATTATAAACTCAGATCAAAGGGCATATCTTTCTTCTGCTATAAATCTTTCCATTGTTATTTTCTTTCACCATTAACAACCTTCATTTCTTTGGCATTTGTAGATATCTGTCTCTTTAAATAACTTTTAAATTTCTCTTCTCTTTTATTGCAATTGAAATTACATTTGTTTTAACTGATACCTAAAAACATAAAGATTGTACAAATTTATGGGGTATCATTTGATGTTTTGATTTATGTATATACTGTATAATGTTTAAATCAGGTTAAGCACATCCATCACCTCAAATATTTTTCATTGCTTTATGGGAAAAATATTCAAGATCTTTTCTTCCAGCTTTTTGAAGTGTACAGTATTTTATTGCTATCTGTAGTCACCTTACTGTGCAATAGCACCTAACAACTCGTTACTTCTGCCTAACTATAACTTAGGGCCGATGATCATGTGATCTCACCCTCCCTACTCTGCCAGTCTCTGAGACCCAGCATCACCCTCAACTTCTAAGAGATCAACTTTCTTCTATTCCACATGTGAGTGGGACGATGCATCCTTGCCTTTCTCTCCTGGGTTTATTTCACTTCATATAAGCATCTCCAGTTCCATCCAAAGTGGAACAAATGACCAGATTTCATTCATTTTTATGGCTGAACAGTGTACCAGTGTGTAAATGTACCACTTTATCCATTCATCAATTGATGGATAATTAATTTGTTTTTGTTTCATGAGCTGTTATGGTTTATATCTAGATGTTCTCTCAAAGCCCCTTGTGCTCATAGGTGGCGCTTTTGGAAATGATTGAAACACAGGTGCATGACATTAGATTAGTCTGTGATGGGTTTGTAGCTGGGTATGATGCTGGGAGGTGAAGCCTGGTGGGAAGAGGTAATATCACTGTGGATGTGGCCTGGAAGGAGAAAATATATATATCTCCTTTGGTGGCTCTCTGCTTCATGCCTGCCCTACCATGGACTGTTTCCCAACTCTGCTATGTCTATCTCCTGTGCCACCCTGCTTTGGAGCCAACTGACTATGGACTGAAATTTCTACAAACTGTGAGCCAAAATAAATCTGTCCTCCTTTAACCTTTAACCTGTGGGAGTCAGTTATTTTGTCCCAGCAACAAGAAGGTAACTAAGACAATGGCTAATATGAATAGTGCTGCAGTAAATGCAGCAGTGCAGATGACTCTTCAGTAGACTGAAATTTCCTTAAAATAGTTACCTACTAGCAGTGATACAGGAGATGAAACATGAAAATATTACATCTCTCAACCTGTTAGATGTCTGATATGCTGAGTTCATATTCTCTAAAATGGAAGAATGAAAAAAAATGGAAGAATGAATTCTAGGAACAACGGAGTTTAAGAGTAGGAAGATATTTATTGATAGGATAGCCCTGGAGAGGCAGGAGGGGTCCCGAATGGGACCCAGGCAAGTAGAAACATCACAGCTAAATGTGATAGATGGCTAATCTTGATTCTTAACTTGATTGGCTTGTATGGTGCTTAGAAGATTAGTAATGGAAACTTCTGGGTATACTGGGTGGGTTATGGAGGCATGACCTTAAGTGTTCTGTGTGGTCCCTGGGCTCTTCCTCTTTGGCTCTTTCCTGGCCTTTCTGCCTCCTGGGTACCATAAGATAAGCACCTTTTCCCCCACCATATCCTTCCACCATGATGTTCCTTCCTTGATGCCGACAAACCATGAACTGAACTTTATGAAGCATGAGTCAAATAAGCCACCTCCTTTAAATTGTGGGTGTCAGGTATTTAATCCCAGCAACAGAAACCTAACTGATACATCCTTATTCTCAGAGGGGAAAAGCTTTAAGAAGCAGGGCTATGAAGCACAAGGGTCAGAGTTACCTCAACAAATTGTTGTTGGCAGGGAAGCCTGAGTTCTGGAATGAACTTTAACTTTGGGACAAGCCAGTGATACTTCTGAGCCATTAGAGAAAACACCACTGGGTACATAGCTGGCTTGTAAGTGCACAAAGAAGGAGTCAATACTCTGGCTTGGAAGTAAATGGCTCCAAGTAGGATGCCTTCCACCACCTCACCCCACCATACCCCCTACTCCTACAGACTCCTTTGTTTCAGTTCCCCATTTTCAGAGTGATAAACCTAAGTCCAGCGAAGAGGTGACCTGCCCAGAGTTACATACAGAGTCAGTGGCAGGGCAGGGGACAGTTTGTCATCACTTTAGATTCATTCCAGCTCAGCACAGGCCAATGAAATGTCACTCTGTGATCATGTGGTGGGAGAAAACTGAACCTAACATACCCTTGATTATCAAGAGGTCACTGCCCAGCTTTGGCCCTTCCCAAGCAAACTACAACAGGAAGGAAGTGCACAGATAAGGACTGTAATAACTCATTTTATTCCTTGTTTTCCCTAAGGGTGTAGCATTTGTAGAGCCCTCGGGACTGGTCAGCCCAGCTGCGGTACACCAGTCTCTGCTCCTGTGGCCTTCTCCTCTACAGGCAGGGGCCTGGAGCTATTAGAGGCTCACTGCTGTGGTCACAAGGGCTGTCCCAACCGATGCAATGGTACCCAGGGAGGCTTTAGAAAACAGAGAGAGTCCAGTTGCCCCTGGGAAGAAACAGGGTGAGCAGAGTCATATAAGCTGGAGAGGCAGACGGAAGTGCTGGTTCGAGACAGCCCCTGGGGTGGAGGTGGAGGGGCTGAGACACAGGGGCCCCCAGCACACCCTCTGTTTCCTGAAACCCTGGGATCTCTCTCTGAGGGCGAGCCAGCAATGATCTCCAGTGGAGAATCCAGCTGGAAGCCGCCTCCCTCTGCAAGGAAGCAGCTGAATCTGCTCCATCTGCAAGGATGGAGAAGATGCCCCATGTATCCCAGCCTGAACCTGGCATGCCTAGCCGGACTCCTCCCTGCCTTAGTCCCGTCCCTAGAGAAACCCCAAGACATGGGGGGGGTGACAGAGCCAGAGTGCAAGGGCATGGGGCTTTCACCCCCTCCCCCCTCCCCTGCAGTCCCCTCCTGGATACTCACCCACTGACTGCAGAGTGGCCACCAGGCTCCCTGCGGGCACCCCGCCACCATTGGCAATGGCAGTGACTGACATCATCTTGGCTGCCAGGGACGAGGCAGTGATTCCTGCCCCGGTGAAGCCCATAGCACTCAGCACCATGGGTGCGCCCACCACAGCCAGTCCTGTGGGGAAAGGAGCTGGTGGGGCTGGGCTCAGGGCAAGGGAGGCCCACACTGGGTCAAGCCTGGGGTCCTCACTAGGTCTGGAGAAGGAGATGGGCTCTGAGCTCAGGGAGGACCACAGGCATGGTCAGCAGTGATCAGCAGAGAGCAGGGCCAGGCGGGGAAAGTGAAAGGAAGGGCGGGGGTCCTCTGCATCAAGGTCCTGATCTAGGCTCTGACTGCTTGCAAGAGCTTCTTTGAGGCAGTCACTTGTCCAGGCCTAAGTGCAATGATGGGACAAGGGACAGGTTCCTAAGCTTTGTTTTCACAGAAGCAAGTCTGGCCTGAAACAGTGTGAACAAAGAACAGTTCAGAGCTGCAGCAGGTGGCAGCTTGGGTTCCCTGAATCTCCAGAAGCACATAGAAAGCCACCAGACCCAGGGTGGCGGGGCCCAGGGCATCCCTGTGATGCAACTCTGCTGTTCCAACTCAAGCTGCACACTCCCTGGGGAACCTTGCACAGGCATCACTGGCCTGTTTTTCAAGGAAGGGAACAGGAGCCCAGGGGACTTCAAAGACATGCCAGGGTCACAGAGATGCTCTGCACTGGGGACATGGGCCCGGTGGAGGACACTGACACCTCGCCTGCACAGTACACTTGTTCCTTGCAGCCACCTCCCTATTTCTTATCTTCAGTGGTTTCCGGTCCCTCCTTTCCTGCCCTCTCCCTCCTTCCTGCTCCTCCCTCCAGCCCCTCCTGAGGCTCCAGAGAATCCTGGGCAAGGACATCATGGCTGCTCCTCTGATCTCTTTGTGCCACCCCAGGAAGGACTTGAACCCTTTCCCTGCAGAGACTTACCTCCTCCGGCTACAGCTACAGCAACCTTGGCTGAAACCAAAAGAACATTCTGTGAGGGGATCCACATTGCCCTCTGCTCCCCACTCCAAGCCAACTGCCCACCAAGAATAGGGGCTGCCTCGGGGTGGGTTCCCAGGAAGGAATGACCCTGCCTGCTCTCCCTGAGTCTCTCTGAGAAGGGGACTTCCTCAGAAGGGGAGGAATTGATCCTCCATGTAACTCCACCTAGATGCTGGGGAGACATGGACCTGTCCTGAGTGAATTACCTGCCCTGGGCCAGAGATCTAAAGATAGGGGTTTAGGGTCCTGGTTCCAGAAAATTCAACACCTAATATAGGTTTTGTTTGTTCTTTGTTCACCTGCCTGCGGGCTACTTGGCTGACTGACTGGGCTTTCTTCTTTGGAAATCTGAAGTTACCTTTCGTTCACTCACTGTCTACCAAACCAAGTTTGGTTCATACACAGAACGAAACAAAAATCCTCTGGATGTGGCTAGGAAGGCATGCCACTGTCATGGCCCTTCTCAATGAACATAGGACACCTGGCTCTGGAATTGAGGGTCCTGGGTTTAACTGGGACAGAGAGAGGCCACAAGGATGGGTGTCGAGCTTCCTGAACAGGGCTGGAAGTTCCTGCGACCCAGGGTCAGTGTTTGTCAGTGGGAGCTCCTGGGAGAACAGTGCATGCAATGACAGAGTCGCTCCTCATTCTGCACTGCCTGCCTGCTGGAAGCCAGGGCAAGCACTGTTGAATCTGGAATGCTATTCATGCTACTTGAGAGCCATGCTTGGAGGAAAGGGCACCAGACTCATGGAGGCCAGCACATTGCCTTCTCCCAACCAGAATTCATCCTTGTGCCTCTGTGATTGGAGAACTCACAGCCCCGGGCCATTTTGGGTTTGTATGGAGCTGTATCTCCAACACCATGAGCCTCTGGTGTATTTGAGGCCAAGGTCCTGATCTCCAGCAGCTAGCTATAAGGGTCTGAACTGCACTCTTCGTGGTCAGTAGGACCAGAAGTTCTCAAAACAGCATCAAGTGCAACAGGCTTAGCCAGCTCTCAGGGAGAGTCCTGGGCTCCAGCGGAGGAAGTAGACACAGGTGCCAGACTCCCAAGGTTGTGTGGCCAGAAGGGACATGTGGATGGGGCATGGACCCTGGACTCAGGAAACAAGAATCTGTTTCAAACCTGTTTCAAAGGCATTTAGTGCTTGACTCTCTTGGCAGGCAGGTACACACAAAGCCTGAGGATATGGGGGCTGTCTGACAGCCTGCCGGGCTCACTGGTGGTCATGGGTGGGATATGGGGCTGGCTCTTCTGGGCTGTGCACGATGTGCCATACGTGCCCCCATGCCCTGCCCTCTGTGATTGGAACAATTCTGCATTTTTGTTTTATTTTCTATCCCATGCTCTGAAGGGATACCCTCACCTCCCTGCCAGGGCAGCAGGACATTGATCAATGTTTCTCCTTGGTAAATAAGGACCAATATTACCTTCCTCTGTGGTGGTTAGGAGAATTAAAGGAATTGATAAATGTCAAGTGCTACCCACAGGAACTAAGACCTAAATACTTGATCAAATGTAAATGATTAAAATGTTATTTTAATCATATGAATTTCTTAATCTTAAACTGAGGTGCTGTTTACATTTCTGACAAGCAGAAGGAAATGATGAGTGTGGTTCTGGTTCTGACTCTCTGGACACAATGTTCCTGCTGATTTCTGTTCCCAGGAAGGAGTGTCTGTCAGCCAGGGGCACTTACCTCCAACTGAAGCTCCCAGAGCAACAGCAGCAGACTCTGGCAGGGTGGTGCTCAGCCCAAGAGCAGACACTGCAGAGCCCAGGGAAGATGCTGCAGGGCACAGGGCAGCCTGGGATACCAGAGTGAACCCTGGGGAGACACACAGACAGAGTCAGAGATCAGGGCAAGGGTCACAGTCCTGTCCCTCCATTCAATGCAATGTGTTTGTGTTAGAGGAGGTTGGAGAATCCTGGGGTCTTCACATATTTGGCAGCAGTTAGAGGTGAGGATTAGAAGCTCCCCTAAGGCCACTGAGGGCTCTCAAGATCAGAGTTGTCAGTGTGAAAAACAGCAGTAGAATAAGACATACAGCAGTCTATCCTGTGTGTAAACTAAAACACATCCAAATGCAAACAACACTCATTCTGCCAAAATGCAGGTCAAACACACATTACCTATAAGAGAAATGCTGACTTTGATAGAGGGAAACTGAGGACATAAGGGTAGATAAATGAGCTGGGGATTTAGCTCAGTGGCACCACACCCGCCTCACAAGCAAAAGGTCCTGAGTTTGATCCCCCGTTTAAAAAAAAAAAAAAAAAACGGTAGATAAATGATAAAACCAGAAAGAGGTCTGCAAAAACCTATGAAGAAAGAGGCTAATACACAGAACATTAAAAACCAATGCCCTGGAGCAGACATCCCCCAGGACATACTGGTAGGAAAGGAGCCCCACAGGCAAAGGGACATTCAAGTGAAAATCTAAAGGAAGTAAACTCCGGTCAGTGGTGAATCCAGGAGACAGGAGAGCCATGAGAGAGAGAGCAGGGCCCAGCTGCAGACCCCTCAATCGAGGCAGGAGGAAGCCCAGGTCCAGAAGGGAAGGGACCTAAGGGGCACCTAGGTGTGAGCCTTTGGGGACTCGGATCTCAGGCCATGGTCAGGGTCTTGCCTCCCCCAGGACCTTCACAACAGGAACATAGGGTGGACAACCGGAAGCAGCATCGAGTGGAAGACTGCGCCATCCCCAAGTCCCCTCTCGCCCCCAGCACTGTCCTTCCCAGGAACACTCACCCTGCGATGAGAGGCCAGCTAGGAAGGCACCAGTGGCTGCCCCACCAACTTGAGCCATGGTCAGTGCTGATGTTATTTTGGCACCCAGGGATGAGGCCAGCACACCCGCTCCAGCTAATTCCATGGCAAAGATGTGAAGCTTCCCGACTTGGGCCAAGCCTGCAAAAAGGGTGGTGCTTTGGTGGAGACAGGCTAGAACCGTGTTCTCATCCACTTCCCTGAAAATTTTGAAAGGCATCAGGGTAGGTGGGAAGCTGCTCTGAGCTGACGGACACTGGGCCTGGAATGGGGTTTGGGGTGAGGGAAGGGGGGATGTGGATGTTGGGGTTTCCAAAGGACCCACATTAGGGGTTGCGCAGAGCCTGAGGGGATTTTATTTCCCTCAGATGGCTGCTTCCTTCTTCATGGAAATCCCAGTGCTCATGCCCTAGACACTTCTGGGACTCTCTTAAATCTGCTGGAGCAAATACCAAAGTTAGGAAACAAGAACCAACAACATTGTCAAGGCACGGACCTTGGCTGAGGTGCTAGGTCTCTGCTTTTCTATCATCTCTGCAATGTCAGAGCTGGGGTCCTATCCTCATTTTATAGGTGTGGAAACAGAGTCCAGCTCAGAGAGTGCTGGGAGCACTGCACTGTAGATCACTATGGCCAGGCCTAACTCACCTCCTCCTGCTGATGAGGCAGGGCCCATAGGAGGAGAACAGGCGACAAAAGGGCAGGGCGGAGCAAGGCCTGACCACAAAGAGGCTTATCTTTCTTCCTGCCTATTTGCCAGAGAAACATCAAGCATGATGTCCTGCAGACCTCAGCTCCGTTTACAGACCCGCCCTTTACCTCCCCATGCACTTCGCTTATCTCTACTGCTATAAATAAACAAGCAGCCATTTGCCTGGGGTCTTTTCCTCGAATCAGGAGTTAGAGCCCCACCTGGGCCCACCTATACCTGTGTCTCTTTGTATATCTTTCTTAATCTCCCACTCTTTTCTCACTCCTTGAACCCTTCAGCCAAGCCGCAAGAGAGGGAATGGGATTTGCTCCAGGTCCAAAGGCTCCGTGGCATGCAAGACCCCAGCCAGGTCCAGCTGCTCCAAATAAGGAGCTTGCGCTGGCTAAGATTTTGTTCCTAACACTTGCCTCTCCCCTGTGCCTTCTTCACACTCACCTACCCTCCAGGCTTGAGGGAAACCTGGCACAGGCAAGATTATCGTTCCCAAATCCCAGAGTCCAGAAGCTCAAGGCCCATGCCTCCCAACTCCCACCTTCCCTTGCAGTTGCCCTGATGAGAACAGAAAGACGGTACAGAGGTGCATGCAGACCACACTGCCATTGGAGCTTGGAGGCCACAGAAGAGCAGCCATGCCCATCACTCTCACTTTACCAAGTGAAGAGGACTTCCTGAGGATGCAGCACCAACACCTCTGTTAGGTCTTGGGCAGAAGGTTTCCAGCCAGATGCTTATGAAACTTCTGTCTGGCTGAAGGGAGACACCCAAGAGTGCCTGCAACCAATGAGATAAGTTTCATTTTCTCAGGAAACTGAAATTTAAGGTATTTTTTCCTTACTTTGTGATTGAGAGGGAAATGAAATCCAGAAGCCAAAACCAGGGATATCTTCCACCTTTTTCTGGTTGATGAGGAAATCTCATTATAGTGGAAACAAAATTTGCCCACTGTGTTAATCATTGTCCATTACTACAAGATGCCTTGTCATATTTTAATTCTTTTATCAGTAACAGAATTTAATGACTCTTAAGCATCATTATTGTATTGAAATATATTGTAGATATATTTATTTCATATTTTCTAAAATTTATTTTTATTACATCAATGACTTTAATTTCTTCCTAAAGGACAAAACTTCATAATTTTAAATATCTTTTTTTTTTAATAGTTGCTGTTCAAAGTTAAAATGGGTAGGCATTGTTTTATAACTGAAAGGTAGGGGGGAGTACGGAGAGAGGGAGGGAAAGAGGGAGGGTGATTCTTGCCAAATAATTACATTAAATGTTTTCTCAGAGGGGGGTATCAAAAAACTAGAGAAGTTGTAGAAATTGATAGAATAAATTAACTTCTTATAAAATCATTTTCCACATTAGAACATCAATTTACAAGTGTGAAAGTGGATGGAATAATTTTGTATATGATACTCCTTCCAAAATAAGTTCTCACAAAATAATAACTCACAGAGCACTAGAAGGATCCAAAATATTCTAATGGCATCTGTTAAGACTAAATTGCACATTGAACAGAAAAAATAATGCTCTTTATTATTGAATCTTTGAATTGTTTCTGCATTGATTTTTGATAAATATACATATAAACTAATACATAGATAGCATTATCTGCCAGCCATACGTATTAAGGATTGATCATACATGGAGCATTAAGGTGCTATACCATACAATTTGTTATGTTCAATTTTTAGAAATTTAAAGCAGATTACAAAATGATGTTAGAATAAACTGCCTCCCTTTCCTTCTGCTATCAATCTCTGCAGTGTTGTTTTTTCTGCTACCAGTAGAACCCTTACTTCTTTGGCATTTGCAGACATTCTTTGAATAACTTTTAATCTTTTCTCCTCTTTCTTTGTTTTTTTTTTGGTTTTTTTTTTTAAGACAGGTTCTCAATATGCAGTTCAGGCTGCTTTGAACTCACTATGTAGCCCAGACTGGCCCTGCCTCAGCCTCCTGAGTGCTGGGATTGCAGGCATGTACCACCCCACCCAGATTTCTCCTTTATTTTATTAAAATTTAAATTAAATTTATTTTAACTGGTACCCAAAAACATAAAGATTGTACATATTTATGGGGTAACGTGTGATGCTTTGATACATGCATACATTGTGTAATGGTTAAATTGGGTTAAACATATCCATCATCTCAAACATTTACTATGGCTTTATAGCAAAAAATATTTAAAATCCTTCCTTCTAGCCATGTGCATGGCAGCACTATTCATAATTGCCAAGAGATAAAAGCAACCCAAGTGTTCACTGGTTGACGAAAGCTTAAGCAAAGCAGTCTGTCCATATAATGGAAGAAAATAAAGAATATAAAGAAGAAAATCCTGACACAAACTCTGACATGAATAGGCCTTGAGGACATGATAATAAGTGAAATAAACTAGTCTGAAAAGACACATACTGTAGGATTTAATTTATATGATGTACCTAGAACAGTCAAATTCATAGAGACAGAAGAGAGAATAAATGGTGGACACCAGAGGCTGGAAGAAAGGAGGTAAAGCATATTGTTGAGTAATGGGTATAGAGTTTCAGATCTGCAAGAAAAAATTCTGGAGATCCTTTTAATAACAATATGAATACATTTAGCATTACTGGATTGTACACTTAAAAATGGTTACAATAGTGTGATGGATTAGCCCTAATATGGCCCCCAGAAGTCTCATGTGTGTGGAAGCTGACTGGATTGTGGAGGTGCTACACTCAGGGTCATGTCCATCCACTGATGAGTTCATAGCTGAATGTGCTGTTGGGAGGTACAGCCTGGTCGGAGGTGAGCCACAGGGGAGGGGCCAGACCTGGAAAGTGCAGCTTGCCCGTTTCCTCCCTTCTCTCTCTGCTACCTCACTGCCCAGGTTGAAAAGCTTTCCTCTACCGTGTCTACGCTGCCTTCGAACCAGCCACTCATGGACTGAACCCATGAGCCCAAATGAACTCCTCCTTTAAGTTGTGGCTGTTGAATAATTTGTCCCAGTGATGGGAAAGAAGCTAAGACGGATAGTACATTCTTTGGTTATGGGCCTTTATTGCCACTATAAAAAAGGGGACCCTGGAATGGGCTGTATCAAATTTTAGCAGTTTTTTTCTACAAATGAGAATAAACCACTATGAGGAGGAGGAGAGATGATTATCAGATTCAAAGGTAATTTAGGCTGATCTGAAGAAACTTAGAATTTTGAAAATATATTTGAAGATTTGGGGCACAGGCTGAGGAGGGGGCTGCTGCATTCCTGGACGAACAGGACAGGTAGCTGGAGACCTGGGGCAGAGGAAGGCTGGTAGTTATGGAAATAAGGGAGCGGACCGGCTCCCAGGAGAACCTGGACCCAGGCCTGTGTATGCCTGGGATACCTTGGGAGGCTTCCTTGCCCCTATCTATTGTGCCTCAGTTTCCCTCTTTTTTTTGGTGCCGGGGATGGAACTCAGATCCTTCCGCTTGTGCAGCAGGCAGCGAAACCACTGAGCCAAATCCCTGGCCCTCCCTCCTGTAAGATAAATAGATTGAAATCAACAGTGGTCTTTATACTTCCCCTTTTGATAGGGGAAAAACACTTGCTCCCTCAAGCACAAGACCAACAGATCTCAGAGCGGACCTTCCGCCCTGTGTCCTTGAGGACTCCTGTCGGGCCTTGCAGGGCTCCCTGTGATCTCCACAGCATGCACTCATAGAACTTCCTCCAAGGATGGGCCTGTTCTTTGGCTGCAATGTGTAATATGGCAGCCATGATGACTAACAAGTGAAATGTGTCTCTCACGTGACAGAGAAACAGCCTATTTTTCTTTAATTTTGGCCACCACATTGGAAGACGCTGCGTTAGAGTACAGCTCAAAATTCTGGGGGCTCAATGAATGGACTGCTAGGTATGGAAAGCTGTTCTGAGGAAGGAGCCGTAACTCAGCATAGCTGTTCCCACAGCTCCCCAAAAGGATGTCACTGGTCCAAGGCAGGAATCACAGGCTCAGACAGATCAAAGGACCAAGGTGACACGGTCTGTTCTTGGCAGAAGCTGAGACTAAACTTCAGGTCTTGGTACCTGCTAAGGCCTGAACTTTCAATGGCTTTGTTTTTGTTTCTGCACGCTAAGGTTCTTGTCACCTCTAGGTTTCCATCTCCTGTCCATCAAGCTCAACCCAGCAGAAGCTCATCTCCTACCATAGATCACAGCTACAGCAGCCCTGGCTAGAGACAAAAAGAGCCGATATGACTGTATCTGCTGCCAGCTTCCTGCTGCATTCCCTGCAGCTGCCCTCCCTTAATGGGGAGGACTCTCTCAGCTGACCCTCAGTGCCTCTTCTGTGTTTCCAGAGAAGCCTGATCTACTGAGAATTTCAGAGATAGATGGAGAATAGTCCAGAGCTCTGTCATCCCCCTGATCAGGAAGGGTACCCCCTTGTGAAGGCTAAACGCTATGCTTTTAGCTTTAAAGCCAATATAGTTGGTATAGCTTTCTCAGAAACAAAAGCATACTGTTTTTATTTGTAGTGGAATAGCTTAAATTTTTCTGTTCGCTCCAGCAAGCCTAACCGCCACTCTAGGCTAGAGCTCAAAAGTGAAGGCCCCCATCCTTCAGGGCTCCCTCGCTGAGCTCCCTACAATCACATCCAGCTATGCGCCCATCCTGAGGGACAAATAGAGGCCATGACTTGCTCCTTTGGGCTTCTGACCATTTGTATTCTGAATCCAGGCCAATTTTCAGGATCCTACCATCT